CTGGTAACAGATGATAGGATGAGGGGGAATGGTTTGAAGCTGCGCCAGGGCAGGTTTAGGTTAGATATTAGGAAAAACTTCTTCACTGAAAGGGTTGTCAGGCTCTGGAATGGGCTGCCCAGGGAGGTGGTAGAGTCCCCATCCTTGGAGGTATTTAAAAGAAGGATAGATGAGGTGCTTAGGGATATGGTTTAGTGGTGGGATGGCAGGGTTAGGTTAACGGCTGGACTCGATGATCTTAAAGGTCTTTTCCAACCAAAGCGATTCTATGATTCTATGATTCTAAATGTGCCTCAACATTTTAACCAATAAAACACAAAAATGCTAGAGGCAGCAATTTAAATTTGCTAATATCACCAAATTTATCTTTCTTGTCACAGCTTGCATGTCAATTGATGGTTTAGTCTGATTTTTCAGTTTTTCCCAAACTGAATCCTACAGAGATGTAAGTGATAAGGGATATACTTGATATATAAGTGAGCTTTGAAAACTTGTGATCGGTAATCACACTGTAGCTGAATTTTTACGAGTGTAAGATTTTACTAGCTTGAAATGAGATTGTAAGAGTGGTACATCTTTAAAATCATGCATAAGACTTCCAACTATGGATGTTGTTTCTGTCTTTTAGCTATTGACTAAAGGATCAGGGGAGCAACAAGAAAATGTTGATCGAAAAAAAAAAACAAAGACTGTTTTAGCAACAAGTTTGGATTTTTGTTCTGCTTTGCTTCAATAAAATCCTGGATGCTAAGCACTGAAGAAAAACTGTGGAATATGCAGATTTCTTGCACATAAGTATTTGGAATATAATCTACTCACTGCATGTAAAACTGACAATAAAAAAGGGTGTTATAACGAGTATCTGATTCTTTAGGAACATACACATTAACACCGCTCAGGCTAGAAACACCTTAACCATTTTAAAACTGTCTTTTGCCAGCCTTTAGGTCACTCCTTTCCCTGCCTCTCAGTTTGATGAGAACGGATAGAGAAGGAAAGGAAGAGGACAGGGCACCTGCCCTTTCTGCTTATGTCCAGGAAGAAATCCACAGGTTTGGCAGGAACTTTGGGGCTTTGCTATTCACCGGCACAGGAAGGTGAGGCTGGCTGCAAGCTCACCTGTCATTCCCCAGTACACACCATCTGGTAATGCAGGGTTAGGGGAAGATAACTGAGCAGTGAGGACTGGGGCAAGGAAGAAAAGTAGGGCATCAGTTTGCAGACATTATGCAGGCCACAGGGCAAGGGCTCCCGTGACAGAGGGGATTCCGAGCAACGAGTATTGTTGCCATCATCAGCTCTTCCAGCTACAACATTTATGTCACTGGCTGCCTTCCTCCCCCTCCACTCTACTCCCTCCCAACACATCTCATTAATCTTTTCCTCTCCTATTTTGGCTGCTATCAGCTTTTTTCTCTTTTCTCTTCCCATTCTCTGGAACAGCACTGCATTCAATCCTACACTCCTGTCGTGTGCTAGCACTTTCTTTTCTGACAGTAACTCATCAGCGTAGCAAATTGATTCACATTGTGTCTGTCCCCCAGCTCTACTTCCTCCTTTTCCTTCCCTCCCATCCCACTTTTTCCTTTCTCACCATTTCTGTCCTTCCCATCACATACCCCCTTTGCTTTGTAACTTCTTGTGCACAATTTCTTGCTGTTAATCTGGATGACACTTTACTTCTCCAGGAAGCTGACATAACGCACCTACCCATCTTATGTCTCTTCGCCACTCTTCCTTCCCCCAGCTGAGTGTATGTTGTACCCCTGTACAACCCCCTGTAAGCCTTAGTGCAGTAGTGTAGTTCCTCTGACACACACACCCCTCCCCCCCCACCATGAAGCATGGAGGTGAATACAGCAATAAAATGCATGCTTCACCTTATTGTTTCTTACTGGTCAGTGGGATTCTTGAACATACACTATTTTAAAGTGGTGTACAGATGCCGTTGTGAGGGTTTCTGCATGTCTTTATGAGAAGGTAGATAAACTCATTACTTGTTGAAACAATTAATACATAGCCAAAATATCAAGTGCTTGCAGAAATCTTCAAACTACCCAGATTAGATGAAATATCACCTCTGTGCACAGGCCTAATTAGTAACAAACTGGAGATCTGTGATTTCTGTGGCAGATCAGCCTCAGGGCCTTTACCCTAGGGGGGAAATTCCTCCATTAAAAATATGTCTGCCACATCATCAAAATCTGCTTCATAAAGAAAAGCAATAACATGTGGATAGAAGGGAGACACATTTAATGATCTTGCCACTCCAGTTGTGGAATTGCTGTTTCACTTTCCAGTTCCTTGTAGTCACACAACAGACCTGTCTAATGTTGCTGGTATCAGTGCCAATAATCTGCTCGCCATGCCTATCTGGAGCCCCGATTAATATCAGTGGCATGTTTACAGGTATCCCAGGGAGAAAATAGATGATACAGACAGTTTTAAAAGACTCAGGGGGAAAAAAAAACCACATTTGTTCTTTGCTAATAATACTGGGCTTTACTGTTCCCAACAGTAAAACTACTGCAATATTGCTAAAACCACTGGCAATGAATTAACACTTGATAACCTACAGCACTATTTACAACAGATGAAAAAACTGCCATTATCCTGTGACAGGAAATAATATGTGAATGACAGAAAAATACGTTATCTCTATGTTATCAATCCTATATTTATTTTCCCACTGGTACACTGGTCACCAGTTCCCATTATCTGATGGCAGGGGATTAAGGCCAGCCCAGTATCAGAATCTTAACTTTAAGTATTTCCAGAAATTTCTCACCATACAGACTATTGGTCCACAATTGCAGTCATGTATTTTCTTATAAAAGAGTATTGTTCTTACCGTAGACTGAAGAGTACATTGCCATCAGGGTATACTCGGAGCATGACGTTTTCCACAGTTGTATCATGGATGAAAGATCTTTTGGAGTGTACAAAAAATACATCAGGTACCCAGATCTTTTTTATCAGTCTTCCATCAAAAGTCATGCTTTTGTTTTTGTTACTATGAAATGAAAGTCTCTCATCCTTCCAGTAATGTCTGAGATATAAAGTCATTGTGAAGTCCTTTGTTTGATTAAAAATAAAAGAAGACAGTGTTTGTTTTACTCACATTCAATAGAAAACGGTACAAAGTAATCAACTCACGCAAAAGATCAATTTCTTCTCTGGACATCATCTGGAAGATCCTCAATGAGAGGAATCAACCACCACTCAATGAGTTTAAATATAGATTAGAACTACATCTGAGATACTGGCTCTTTGCCTCATCACTGATATCTGAGTCTGCGGTTCATACTACATTATAACTTAGATAAAACTTTTACAGATTTCAGTGGTCTGCTGGATTGGGCCATCAGTGAAGGGATAAAGAAACTTTAAAACCAACCAAAGGCAAATTAGAAGGGTTTTCCTTTGGAAATCTTCACAAGATTTTCCTAGAATGGGCTGTGGTTCCTTTACAAAGGGATTAATTTGAACTCCTTGTGAGCATTCAGTCAATTTGTAAAATCCATCAGTCTGGACTTTTTGTACAAATATTGCACAGGTGTTTTAGATTAGTACGTTTACAAATGAAACGCATCATAAAAAAACAATATGATGAATTTCATAAGAGTAAGCAATTAAATTTTACAAGAATTACATTTTTTATTACAAAAGATGGTTACACATATCTTATCATCCTATTTAGAGAAATAACATGGCTGCAAATATACATGTGGAAAGAGATGGAGACAATGCTGCAAACCCATTCTGAGCTTCTGCACAACCTGACTGCTCTGTGCTCTCCTATATAACTTTTGCATTATTAGGCAGCCATCATTTATCTCAGTAGAACAATTACTTCTGATAATAATACTAGGAGGACACTTAGGTCTTCCCCTGTAATATGATTTTATGCCCCTGTAATACGATTTTATCATTTGGGTAGGTTTGCAAAGGAATGCCAGGTTTCATACTGACAGATCCCATTGCAAACTCAACGCCTATGAGTAGAGCTGCACTCACTGTGAGCAGTTATTGTAAATAAGATCTCTTTGCAAAGTTAACGTGCCCTGCTATTCTAGGACAGAGCAACTTGGCACTAATGTCTGGGTGACATTATCAGTGACAATTTTGGCTGAGGAATGAACAGCCTGCATTCCAGTGCTACAGGTCCCTGATTGCAGTGAGGGCGTCTCCTTCCTAGGACCATTCCTGGAACTGATTTTTCTATTTCCATTTGTTATGACCACAGCTCCACCCATGCCAGAAATGATGTGAATACTCAGATCTGCATAAGCAAAGGAAGCAAAGGACATGAAGCCTCATCATCTAATGTGCAGAGCACTAAGAGCTCATGGGGAAGCCCACAGGGCTTACTGAATAGTTGGCATTTTCAATCGGAGCACTGTTCGCTTTCATCTGTTCCTCTTGCCCAGGGAGAAATTCAACATATGCTCTTACATAACATTTACTAGTTTAAACGGGAGTAGCTTGCATGCTTCAAGGCAAGGCTGTGCTCTCTAAGGGTTTGCTTTCTTTAATTGTATTATTCTACATCATCTAGCTGGATGTTTCTGAGACCCTGAATTTTGGCTGAAATTCTTTATTCCAGTTCTACTAACCAACTTACCATGTCAACTTCAGATATGCTGTCAATGCTTTCTACCTGCACATCAATGCCCACAGGTATTGGCGACCCTTCAATGCAACAGAATGAAAGAGTGATGAGGAGCATAAATCCATCTTTTTAAAGGGAAGACTGTGTATTAGCAACATACAGAGAGTACCCCATCCCAGCATTTGCTATATTCTGTCCACCTCAGTATGCTGAATGAGAAAGTCCATGGCAATGAAGTAAAACCCAATGCTAAATAGTTGTAAAAATAAGTACGAAATCTTCACTGATCTTTTTGCAGCCAGACTAGTTGTTATTGGCATTGCGGTTCGGACAGTAGTGACAGAGCCTTGTGGTGCCAAAGCCAATGAACTGCTTGGAGTGCTATTTAGAACTGTCATAAGGAAAAGCTGAGTAAATGTATCAAATACATCAAAGACTGCAAAGCTGACTTACCAGTTCCAATGCTTATTCCCACACTTATAAACAAAATATTTATTACACCTCCTAATTATCTTTAGCTTAGTTTAATTACTTAACAATTTGGCATACTTAACAAGTTTGGCATAGATATTTGTGAAAAAGTATTGCTTGCTCACTACCTCATAAGGGAAAAGCTGTGCACATACCAAGCATGTTCTGTGATGGAGTGTTGTGTATTACTGAGTACATCATTTATTATCAAGTACAATACATACCAAACTGCACTAGGTGACTTTATTTTATATACTACTCCACTATTTCATGCCACTGAAAAAGGCTGTGAGTTTATAATACATTGGGATCTGAATGAACACATTTTAAAATCATATTTGCAATTTTACAATAAAGTGATTAAAAATCAATTACAAAATACAGCAAAATATAAAATTATTCCCAATCTCTTCAGTGTACAATATCTAGAATGAACGATCTAGTTCTATATAGGTTATGTACCTGCGCAATTTTCAGCAAGCAAGTCATTCCACTAAAGCAATTGACTAATGGCTATCTTACGGAAGCATAAAGGGAGGAGAAGAGAGATGTGTGCATTTATGTGTATGCACACACACACATGAAGAATATTCTGCATTTGGCATGAAAATTAATAGTAATTATTGTACATGGGATTCCAATTACATTTGTTAAAAACAGTCAGTTAAAATATTTTTAAAGTACACATTCAAAATAACCCGATACAAAACATGAGTACAAGGAAGTCTGAACAGCAGGAGAGAGCAACAGCTTTTTCAACTTGTCTTTCTCTTTTTCTTGCCTTTTCCTTTTATCAGTGTCAAGCCAAAGTAGTCCAGAAATAGCACTCTCCTGATAACCAGCTACAATACTGTATCTCTTTTTGGAATTATCCTTAAAATAGCAGCCCTCGAGGATTACACAGCTGCCTCCAGTTCTTACCAGTAGAGATCTTGAACTATTTTTGAGGTATTTTAAAATCTGGCTCTGTAATCTCTTGATTTGACTTGTATTTTTTAATGGAGGGTTTGACCCTGCACAGAACAGATGAAGATGCATTGTGCATGGGAAAGCAAGGTAAAATGTGTTCAGAGTTAGCAGGGCAGACAGGAGCATGTTTCAGCACTGACAAAAGCTGTGCTGTCTCACTCAGAAATCACGTCTCCCTCTGAGAGCAATACATGGCTCAGTCTGTTGGCTAAAGCTTAAAACAAAATTCAGGACTCCAGACAGCAAGGTTCAGTCAATTAGTTTGTTAGTAAAACACTAGACAGCACTTGGGAAAATGCTGCTTCTTTTGGAGAATAGAGACAGCAGGAGACATCTGCCCTAGGGGTTGACGCACAAGAGTATCGATGCATATATCTAGCCAGGCTTCTTCACGCTAACCAGTACTAATGTTTATGCCTCTTCTAAACAGTTCGGACTACTCGTCTTAGTTTTGACCACACCACACAAATAGTTTACTTATGCTAAATACCAACTTGTACCAAGTACTGATACAAAAATGCCTGCTTATAATCTGAGTGGAGTCATCTTCTCAGTATTCTACCAAAATCTAAACTACCTTGTAAACTACAGAAGGGTTTAGCCTAAGCAGAAGTCATTATGGGATTTATACATGATGTGAACACCGTTCACAAATGGCATTCACACATAATTTAAATACAAACACCGCAGAAAGATGAAGTGGTGTCTATCAAGCTCCTCCTCTGCATGATGAAACAGGACAAGCCTGCATTGCAGAGCTGACCCCCCAGCTAGCTGTACACAAGGCAGGGTGGCTCAGGGAGCAGCCTAGCTCTAGAAGCACAGCGCTCCAGCTTAGGAGCTGACAAATATGCCAACAGCATTGAAGATAGAAATCTGGCCTCAGCCCCTGGCTCCTTGTAAAGTTCATACAGTGTAAGACACATTCTAGATTGGGGTGAGGTCGCCTGTGACTTGGAAATGCCTGATGGCTATCAGGGTTGCTTAGAGTGACTGCAAATAGGCAGACAAACTGTGTATTATCTAATCTTACCCACCACGAATCTTCAACTTCTTGATATCCATGGGTGCGTCCAAACTCTTACCCTGGAACTATGGCAGAGGCGCATGGTAGGATATGCTGGAAGCGCTCATATCTCGGCATACATTTGATCTTAACTGCTATTACTAAAACTTTGGGCGATGATTTGCTTGACTAGCATGTTAAAAACAGTGGATTTAGTCCTATTTATGTAGAATTATGTGGGTAGAAGGGGAAGAGAGAGGAGCAGCTCTCTACATAAAACAACGGCTTTACCAGCTTTGGAGTCAAGGACAAATCTAAAGCAAATGAAGTTAAATGTCTAACATCAACCTTCTTCAAACAGGCAAGGAGCTACCCACAAATCATATCACAGAATAGGATGACTGGCTTTCTAAGCCATATATCATGTGCAGCAAGGAAAAGGTTTTTCTTAGTGACAGCTGCTCAAAATGTGATGATGGCAATCCTAATACTTTCTCGGGATTTGCAAAAATTACAGACAATTTCCTACCACAACAAGCACTATTCCAGAGTGGGCACAATTTCATTCAATAATTCACCTCATCTGGGCAGATATAAAGGAACTGATCACAGAACTAGAAATTAGGGGCAGCTTACGGTTACGTCGGTTACACGTACACAAACTGAAGTGCCAGGTATACATAAATACCCAGAGAGGCACTTGATTCTTTGAAAGGACAGCTTGCACTAAATTGGGAACTGTTATAAAACAAGTCAGTGGGGACACTGAATAACATAAAAGAGATCAAAAGCTATGACCAGGAGAAATACAGTGGATGGTTCTAAAGTGAATTAAACAAAAAGGGAACTGTTACAATTAAATTTGTCCCAGATTAGGTAGAAATGCTAGAACTGTGAAACAGACTCCTTAAAAAGAGATTCCTGTTCCCTATCTGGTGAAAGGCCAAAGATCGTACCCATGCTGCTGACTGAGAAAATACTGTTCAGCCTAGCATTCGCCACAATTATTAAACTACATCCTCTGACCCCAGCCCTGACCTGTTATTGACAGATCATAGCACCTGCAAATATTTTCTTCCTATTCTGACTCTACTTTGGCAACAAATGTAAGTAGATGACAAAGACACTAAATACTGCACGTATATGCAACCCCAGTCACTTCAGTGTGTTGTTCACTTTTCTAATCTGAAGCATTTATATATTTTTGTCACTAAGACCACCACCCCCATAAGATACATATTGGCCTTACTCTTTGTAGTTTTGAGATTTGTAGTTTTCTGGGAACATTTCTTTCTGTGATTAAAAACCAACTCCGCTAGAAACAGTGATAATTAACTATTGGGAACGGATTGCTGAGAACTGTAATTTCTTCATCACTTGGATTTTTTTTACCACAACTGGATGTTCTTAAAAAAATAGCATTTCAATAAGCATTGGAAAGGATCCTAAACAGCCAGAATAGTGAAGTGATTTGTCTACCTAGTGTCTATGTCTACACCACAGCTTTCTCCCTAGCATACTGAGAATTTCAATCGCTGGCTGACCACCAGGCAACAACATCAAATTCACTTTGAAAAAAAGTAACCGTAGCAAAGCTGTGTTTTTTATTTCCTGGTATGACCAAACTGGGGATGGCAGAGAGGATTTTGTTATTAAATTGAGCAGCTTCAGTTGCTTCTGGAGCGTTGCTACAAATCATTATTTTAGAGGGATTAGTGATTTTCACAATGGAGGCTCCACAGATTTTCAAGACAATTACTCCTCAGCAGAAAAAATAAAATTGTTTTCAGATGGGTTTATCTTCACACAAGCCATTTCCAGTCTTTTATTTTAAAGGTTTAAACAGAGCAAAAGAATTCCTTGATGAACATGGAATTTTTTTAATAGATAGTATGGCGGGCAAATTCTTTAATACCCTTTTCAGAAGAGATGTTACGTAAAAAGGATATCCTTTTAGCATTAGGATCAATTTCTACAGTAATAATGACTGGTTTAGTGAATTCTATAGTCAGACCTTTGAACACACAGCAGATTGCACCTGAAATTCCATAAGATAAATGTTGAATTCAGAAAAAATCAGCCACTGTATGCTGGAAAAAGGTAGGTCTACAGAAAGCTCTCAGTATGAGACAGAGACCAGGGAAAGGGAAGGTCTATAGGAATATTTTCTTCTAAAAAAGACTTTGGGGCCGTAGAGGAAGAAAACCTGAAAGAAATGTAAACAAGCCCCCGGGAAGTGAAGCTATGTGGATGTATTTACTTTCCTCTGGCAATGAGTGAAACAGGACAATTACTGGCAATGGTATTTTCTTCTTGTTACTGCTTTGTTTCTTTCTTATTTGTGTGAGAAATGAGGGCGGACTGGTATTAGCAGTAGCCAACTCTTGGAAGAATTAGCAATGTAAGAGAAAAAATCCAGGAGAAGGAGCATATTAGAGGTCTTGCAAATTACCAAAATATTTCCCTCCTGTTCTGGACCCCAGCTATTCCTTTCAGTAACACATGAGAAAAAGCCATTCCACTTTCATCAGAGTGAGTCTTCTCCACCACGGGGAGAAGATACTTCTGACCTTTTAGGGAGGGCAGTGGTGCAGAAGAGAAAACAACTTGGTAGCAAAGAGCTATTAGAATTGCAGCATTTTTTGAACATTTATTGGGCCCTATTTTCTTTCCTTCCCCTCCCCCCCCCCAACTTCAGTTGCATTTAAATGTTACTAATTTAACTTGAGGAGGGAGCAAGCCTAAGGGGAAGGGAGCTAATGCAATCCTCTGAAAATTTGGAATTAAGATGATACTTAATTGCAGATTGGGATGCAAACCGTATAGAAAGACTGTTACCTCTTGACCAGCTAAATGCTACTAAGTTCTTTTATATTATTTCTAGTACTAGCTAATGTTATTATCCTCTATATTGGCTGACAAAACGGAGATAACCAACTTTAAAACTTCATTAGTTAACACATTGTTACCATAGGAAGTGACAGGTCCTTAATACACAGTGTAAAAGAAAAATAAATTTATCATACCTCAGTATATACATACACAGTGAGAACTTGCATGTACACAGTGACAATGATCATGTGGTTCCATAATCTTTAGATTGCAAAATAGTTCAGAGAGTGCATGGAAGGGTTTTACTATCAGGGAGACCAAGGCACAGAGGAATAAAAGAATTACCTCCTCTGTATGCTAGTCTAAGATTTTTTTAATGGCAATGTTAATTTTTAGGAAGCAGAGATGGAACTCAGGAAACCAAGAGCTCATACCAATGACTTCTGCCAGTATTTTGAAATAAGATAGTTCAGAAAATAATAGGATATAGATAAATAGATGTATATAGAAAAGAAAGTAACTTTAAAGTATTTCTACATCTTCACTCTAACACCTCTCTCAACGTACATGGTTTTGTCTACTAAGGCAGCCTGCATTGTGGCCCTCGGATCTGAGCTGCTAGAAATCTCTGTTCATTGTCTGATATTGGCCTGTGCTCACCCTTTCTCACTGAGTTTAAAACACGGGGATGACCATTCCAAGAAGTGCTGGCAACATAATTTAATTTCTTACTTTTTCTCCAAAGCTAAGCTATTTTCTCACAGTTTATCAGTTTAGTGGGCTACTGAAAAATTAGTTGAAGTACTTTAGGCCATAGTAGTACAAAGATATATAAGTCATGAAAAGATTTGAGTCTACTGACAGTCTTTTGTTGCCTTTGGTAGGACCTATGCAGACAGACAGCCTTACCAGAACTGGCAATTATTACACCATTGCAGGACCCCTATCATACCCATCTGCTGGCCTTTATCAGTGCTGCTGGAAGCAGCAAGGACTAAACATAATTCCTACAATGTTCACTGATGCAGTTGATAAAGCTGTTTGAGCAAAGGCAACACCCATTTTCCTGGTCCAATGTCTAGTGGAATTACTCAAATCACTATGCTGGCGCACATCTATTTGCATCAGCAGGGGGCCCATCTATTGGAGACTTCCAAACAGAAGAGGAACATGACATTACATAGAAGGTAACAACAGAAAAAACCCAAACAAACAAACAAAAAACAAACAAACAAAAAACACCAACCAAAACCAAAACACTCCAGGAAAGGAAAAAAAAAACACCAGTCCCCTGCCTCCCCCAAACAACCCAAGAGCCTGGCTTAGAGAATAAGTGCGATGTAACAATGTAGGTTTAGCTTTTTAAAGAACATTCGGGTGTACTGAATTATTGGTTTGCTTCACTCAGCCTCACTGTATAATGAACTGCAGACAAAGTATCATTTCTATAGCAAAAAAATGTAGACACAGCTTGCTAGCAGTTTGCTGGGTTTGCTTCATCTTGACACAATATGCTTCTCACACTTTGATCTCTAATCTGTTAATAAATGGACAATGTCAGGACTAAATTTTTAAATCAACAGTCACAGAATCAGATTCTGATTGTGCAGCTGGAATGGCATTGCAATCAAACAGAAGAATGCCAAAATACACTCACATAAATGACAGCAAAGTTGTGTCCATTTGGCCAAAAAAAGGATCTCTTACGTCCACAGAGCAATGACACACTTTCACAAGAAAGCCACCCATCATGTAAGCAGAGCCACAATTATTTCCACACTGCAGCCTGTAGCATCAGTATCCAACAATTCTATATTCATTTCCCCCAGTATTTTTCTTGTGCATGTTTGCTCAGTTTACAAATCAAATTCAGCATGCGCCATCCCTGTTTTTCCTTTGTTATTTTATTATAAATACTAAAAACTCTGGATCCTGTAGTCTGCCTCATTTACTTTGCGTGTGTGAGGCTAAACGAAATCAAACAAGCCAGATTTAGATTTACGAGTTCCCTGAACTGAGACATCTCTGGCAGGTTCAAAACAGCATGAATTTTCCAGCTGCTTTTTCTCCCAAACTGATGCGGAGGATGATTGACCTTCTCATGGAAAGGGGCACGGTGGAACTAGATTAACAAAACCTGTCATTCCAACTCCCTTACATACCCATAAAATCACAATGGGCTATAGGAGAGGGCAAAATATCGTCTCTCTTCTAAAGGTAAAGAATAATTTTAAAATACTTGTTCTTCACCCAGCTGATTTGACCTGGTTCTTTTTTCTCCCATCAGCATTGTGAATTGATGCATTGTGCTGAGATGAATAAATCATGCACTGTGGCATGTGACAGATACAAGCCCTCCATGAATAGCAGTACTGAAATGCTTCATTAGATTTGATAAAAACAAACCCAAAATTTCATCTGCTTTAAATACATAAAGCCACAGTGTTGTAAGTCTTTATGCAATTCAGGGCCATGTTATGACTGCTGTGGCAATGACTGTAGCAATGGTGTTTCTAATTTCATCTGCTCCTCTAGTTAAGTTTCCTTCTGCTGCACACTTAATCATCAGTGTCTTTCAGAGACACCCATACTCTGTCTCTGCTGTCATACAATAATTCTGGGTCATACAATAATTCTGGTCCAGACTAACAGATTTCGTGTTTCACTTGGTGATTTTTGTCCTCTGATGAGGACACACTTGTGTGCTAAATCTCTGCTGCTGCCTTATTAGCCTGCCCCTTATGAAAAACAAAACATTCTTTGCTACTGTAACACCGCTGAAATCAATGGTAATATGGGAATAATGGAGTATAAATTTAGGATTGACATTCATTTCACCGAGACTTTTTTCACTGTGTGCTGTAAAAATGTTAATGGATCTCTGTTTTGGTGTTAGAGAGATTTGCATGTAAGTATTCCACATATTAAGAGAGTTCTGAAAATTTGGAAGTGTGTGAACTATTGGATGTGACCGAAAAAAGTGCCTCCCATGCCACTATGGCATGTGGATGGTAGAAAAGAAGCAAAGCTGATGCACTCTTCTGCTGAAGGCTATTTCCGAAAGACAGGAGTACAGCTGAAATCATACCCATGGCAATGTGATTATTGAGAGGCCTGTGCAATGAAGTCAGTGGAAAAAATACAGCTGGCTTCAATAGGAATTGAATGGGCTCTATGACTAGTCATCTGAAAATAAAAGGACAAGGGGAAAAGGCCTGGTACAGATTTTCTGGGTGTAAAAGAAATCCTCACTGCCCGTGGAAAATTACAACTGCCAGATCACAGGGTATATGCTGAAAGCTTCTTTTATGTACATCATAAGTATTGCTTTCTGGGATGATCCAGTGATAAAGTCTATCCCAAACTGTTGTTTGCTTTCATGTAAATGCCACTTCCTTTCTGAGATGACACTCTCAAAAATTTAAATTCCTTGTGTGGCAAAGCAGGTGATAACAAGTCCAGACTAACAGATACTACAGACACTAGACTAGACAGGCATTAGGCAAGACGTATCCTAACTTTTGCTGCCAAGAAACAGACACATCTCAACTATTATTCAAAATCAGGCAGGATTTTTGCTTTCTGAAAAGACAGGATTTCTAGAGTAACAGGACATCCTTTCACATTCTCCCAGCGCATCCAGAGAGGCTCTTCTTACCCCAGATCTCTCTCCTGGCGTGCTTGCCAGGACCCAGATCCCAGCAGCCAGTGTCAACAAGAATAGCTCCACAGACTTCAGCTAGCCTCTTAGATTTATATTTGTTTACACAGCTGATTATTGGTCCTCATATATTTTATTTTGTCTTCATAATCCAGAGCAGTTCAGTCTATTTTCATGAATCATGAACACGGAACTGGTGACGCAAAGGCTCAGACAAAGCTTATTAGTGGGGCAGCTTTCTCATTTTACCTTTATTGAAGGAGACTCAAAATTGAATCCAAACTGTGAACATCCCATTGAATACTCCCTTTATCCACATGCAATTTAGTTAAATGAAGAAATAATCATCATACTGCCCAAAACCACAGAAACAACATGGTAATAAAGTGAAGGCCTGTGGGTAGTTATTTAATTTTGTACAGAGCAAACAGATTTAGGAATTGATGGTTCATTTCAATCTCTCAAAACAAATTTGAAGACTAAGTAATTTGCTAATTGCTACTAGACTGTGCAGTTTATAGAGATACCTTAATCACTGTCCTCAAAGAATCCCATGCTAATAATATTTTTTAAAATTAGTTCTGAAAAGGAGACAATTTGGACAGTTTCTCCTATTGATGTGCTAACCAGAAAAAAGTCCCTTGCCTTCAAGTATTTCTGGATTTCTTCTTTCTTTATTTCCTGGAGCACAACGAAAGAGGTGAGCTGCAATTAAGTCTGTCATTCAATTTTAAGCGACACTGTTGGACAGAGTTTAAGTAAGCTTCCAGAGAGAGGATAAACTATTAACCAGCACAGCACATGCACATGCTGCTTACCTCCAAATCCAGGTCTCAGTGCAAAGTCATGGTCCTCTATACGAAGAAGCTGCTCAGATTTAAGTGGCCGTACTTTGGTGCTGTCAAGTTTCCTCATTTTAATTTCTCGTTTGCTATGTTTAAAAAAAAAAAAATGTAAGAAACTTTTTTTTTCTGCCTGACATTCAGAGTGCTAGTTAAATGAAGCAGGGCCCCAAGAATCCTGGACAGTTGAATCTGGTATGATAAGGGAAACAACTGTGCTAATAAAGTTGGAAAAAGATATATTGGAAAAGGTAGAGAAATCAGGTATAAGGGTGCCTATGTCCATTGGTGTTCACCAATTATATATAAAAAGTCCCAGGAAGAACACCTAGCTCTTCTTCCATTCCCCTCACCAATTGTATCTATCATTATAGAAGAGATTACAGCTGTTTGAAAAAATGTTATTATTCACATAACCACGTTCAACTCAGACTTGGAAATATCACCATGTATCCATGGTTTTAAACCACTTCATACATTATCCATATTACAGAGACAATTATACTTTTTATTATCAATCTTTTTTTTTTCCTAGGAGCTCAAATGAGTCAATAATTTTTCAGAAGGACTGAAAAACTGATGGTCCTGGATCCAGGGACTTGCTTTTTGAGCAACATTATTCAGATTTGGCCAAGTTACTTGTTAGCTCATCCCCTTATTTGCTTCTCAGATATGCAGCATTTCTTTGCATTGAGGGACCCAACTCTGCATTTTTCCTCATGCCACACATATCTCAGCCTCTGCATAGCACCAAGACAATACAGATGATCCTGTGCTATCAGCAGGGCACCATGAATTCTGTACTTCTTTCTGGTGACTGCTGCTAACTTTCTTCACAGAATGTAGTGCACAACATCCCAAACTCCACTGGGGAATTCACATGCCTAAGAATGGACTTGAGCTTTCCAGATGGAAATCTCATGTGCTGGGGCTGATTTAAAATGAACATTGGATGCCCATCACAATGAAGACTCCTTTTCCATTTTTCCCATAAACAGAAGCCATGGCACAGGCAGCAGAGGGGTCTGGTACATACCCATATTACAAAGATATTGGGTTAAAATACAGACAAGATCTACAGCCAGATCTGGCAGCTGGAGCTTTAGAAAGAATCCGCTACATTATTTGGTTCTGCTACAAGGAAAATGCTATGATGCCTCCTTCGGTTTCCACTCCATGTTGCATGTCCTGCTTCAATTAATAACAGAACTAGCCATAATTTAGCCAGAGAATTATGCCTCACTTTGGGCCCCCATTTCAGGAACAGCATGGAAGATTGTAAGAACCTGTGTAACTTAGTTTAGAGGAAGACGACAGAGGGCACACAGTCTTCAGAATGCAATGAGATTTTTTTACAGGGCCCTTTGCTCCATGTCCCCTCCCCAGTAGGATAAGTGGTGGCAACAAGGGAGATCTGTGGTACACACTAGGAAAACCTTTCTCATGGTGAGAATAGTGAAACGTGGGAACATATCGCTTGGGCAGGCTTTGAGACTCCTTTCACTCGGGCTATTTAAGAATAGGTTAGACATATATTTGTAGGAATGACTTAAATACAGCTGCTTTGCCACAGGCAAGGGACTCTCCCTAGACGTAATTTCTTTCATGCCTTCTGTGGTTCTCTGGGACTTTGCTGCCAGCAACTCTAATTATTACCTTAGACTGAAGGATAGAAATCTGTTCTGAAAATTTGCCCTGTAGTCAAACACTGCTTAAGACAAGGTATGGAATACTTTAGGATAAGGTATGTGCCTGTATTTACTTTTTTTTTTCCTCTCCTTTCCCCTCTTTTTTCTTAATAATGAAGCCCAAAAATTACTTTAAAAATGCTTTGTTACAGGAAAGCTGAGGTGGCTCCTGAGCTATTCAGAACCGTTGGGCTTGAACAAATTAATTTGCCTGACTATTATTGAATGTCTCTGGCAGCGTTGTCAGAACCAAATTATCAGGGCAATCAAAATTCCCATTAGGCATTTCAAACACAAACTTTAGTTTTCTAAGTATGAAAATTATGTGGAAGCTAAAATGAAACCCCATGCTTCAGAGAACTGAAATTACCGCAGAGCAAGCCTGTATCAGAGTTAGAAAGGGCAGTAGAACTGAACACCTGCGATGCTCTGCAATAGGTATACGAGTAAATTCTGTTGCTTGGGAACCAGTATAAGAGAAAACAACAAATTATGTTCAGAATGCCATGGCACAGCTAATACAGTTTGGAAGCATTAGGTTATTTGTCATTGGATGTGCCAAGGAAAACACCTGCTTGATGCTCTGGTGATTTCACTGGAGGAAGCAGGTTAAAACTATGATACATCTATTACAACTTCTTACTAGAAGCAAGTATGTGACTGAGGAGGACTTTCCCTAGTCACGAGAGGCAAAACACAGGCTACCAGAGTAGGATTTTTTTCTTAATGAGCCACTGAGAAGAGATGTTACGGGATTTTAATGTTCCTTCTGTTTTCCTGGATGAGGACAAAATAAACAGAAATGCTGCCTATATGAAAAGCATCTTTTGTGCCTACTTACTTGAACTTCAAGCTGATGTTCTATATACGAATGGTGGAGTAACTATATTTCTAGCTGCTATCAAAAGTGGTAGTTCACACTAGGCAAGATCTTGCAGGGGTCAGAATAGCACTTTGATTACAAAGGTCCTGCATATTTAATTTGATACCTGCCTTTGGCAGAATGTATTTTTTATCGTAAAGGAAAATAGGCTTACACGCAGAGATATATACTCATGGTACCTGGAATTAATTTAATGGACGCTGGTAACATTGCATGTGTAAAGGTACCAAAACTTGGAAAAAATGCCATGAAATTTTCCAAAATAATTAAAAAAGAATACACTTCTGCTTCACATTTTTTCTCCTCCTTGACTGCTTCCCCCAACCAAGGCTAAGAAGTGTTCTCTAGCAGATATTCCTTTAACTTCACCACCTGGACTCCAAATGTTACTCCTTGGCTAAGAGTTACAGTATTAAACTGTCCTCACCACAGCATTAAAGCTATTTAACTGATGACTCAAAGGGAATCGCGTGTATGTATTTGTTTACTCCCAGGAAATCCTAGGACCTTATCTAACTATTGATCAGCACCACAGCACTGTGAAATCATCAGCAGATGTTTTCTTGCGTGCTCCTTCCCATGGCACCAATTCCGTTAAAAAGCCGAAGAGACATATCTAACTAGCCTAGATCTCAGAAAAGCTTCCCAAGGTCAGTCAGGATATTCTGTTCATTCTCACAGAAGCACAGCAAAGACATAGATTGTATTTTGGTGGCCTGGCACCCTGGTCTTTTACCAGGCAGCTTTGGCCAGCTCACCGTAATCTAGGAGGCTAAATGCCGTCACTGATTCTGCACATTAATTGTATGGCATGTGTCAGGCTGTGGTGTTTGAGAGGAAAAGTTCACACACACCTAAGGAAAGGAGATCTCTCTTTACCTGCCTGAGGCAGTAGTAATAAAGAGAGCTTTGACAGATAGCTCAGTATTGCTATAGATCCGGGCAATGATAAATATGAGTTTGTCCATCTCAAGAAACTACTACTTCCAGTTATAATACCTGTGATTTACACAGCTGTATTCTGGGCAACAGTTTACATTATGCAATTGAAATGGTAATCTATAATTAAATTCCAACAGAGGTCATAAAAAGCACTTGAAGTGTTTCAGATCACATAGGGAAGACACCTCTGCTGGTACTTATATAGGAAGTTAATGGAAGCACTAGCTCTTTGGATGAAAGAAGTGAGACACACTCTTTGGACACTTCACTACTCTTATATGGACTCATGGCTTGATGCCTTGGTATCTGACAGAGCTCTCAAAGAGCAGTTAGTCACTGCCTACAAAACCAAAGCGACTAATTCAGGATTTTTTAACAATGGACAAATATGTGGCAGACTTTTAAGACAAATTTAGCTGCTCCTACCTAACCTTGAATACCTAATATTGAGAGAAAGATCACAGGGCTGCTCAAGGGTAGTTGGAACATTTTTCATTAAAGCATTTAACCACATAATAGCATAACCAGTGGCATTCATGGGAGTGGTGTGGTTAGTATCCCATCTGGTTGTCTTTAACTTATGAGGCTATCAAAAGTTTACACTGGTTCAAGAAGAAATTGGTCAAGTTTGTGGAAAAAAAAGTCCAGTGAAGATCACTAAATCTGCATAAATTACACCCAACGCAGGAAGTCTCTGAGGGAAATCTGGTGAATGGATATGGTGGGGGAGTATTAGGGAGAAATATCTTCTAAGTTTGCCCTGTCCTTATTCTTCTGAACTTGTGCTTACAGCCTTTGTTGGAAACAGGTCACTATAGTACATGGACCTTTGGTAAGATCCTGCGTGGCTGTTTTTCTGTTCTACTGCCCTGTGTAACTAATGATAAGGGGATTCCTTGGCAGGAAACTGGAGGAAGGCTGGAGCACCTCTGGCTGTTCAGGAAGATACAAACACATTCCAGCACCATCCTCATCACAATAGATTTTGAAAAATCTGAAACTCATGTCTCAGGAAGGACAGTTAGGTTTTGTTTTCAGTTACACTAATTTAGCATCCAAGATACCACACTTCCTTTATTGCTGCAGAATAGGGGTAGTGGGGGAAAAAAATTCTCACTACATTCAAAATGAAACTAGGTAAGTTTATGAAAAGAATACTGTGAAGGACTGTTTTATGAAAAGAGTACCATGAAGGGCCCTAGGTTTAATGGCCATAAACTTCTTTCCAGTGCTATGTCCCTGAGATACTCTAGCTACTACCAAATGAAAGGTACACAAAAAGTAGAAGTTACAGAAATCTTACTCCCAGGAGAGTCTGTGGAGTTAAAGAGCAGTGTGATCTCTAAAACTTTTGACATATTTATCAAATTTTGAAACACAGATAAATGTAAGCATTAAAATTGCACAGTTCTTTCTCTCATAAAAATGTGTTTACGAGTGTTCAGTAACATCAGCAACACGTACTGTCAAAAAGCCTAATATTTTGACAGGTCAAATGTTTTGTTCCTTGCTGTAGGAAATGGACCATGAGAATAATCTCTTTCTCATGTACTTTTGGTTAATGCTTTAAAATCTTCTTTACAAGAGAATGCAGACAAATAGCTTTGGAGGGAGAATTGGGTTACTCTATTAAAACAGTGGAACTTGTAGGTTAAGTAACATTTTCACATGGGATTCTTTTTAAAAGGCCACCCATTTAACCAAGGCCATCTGTCAGCTGTGTCCCTAATAACCCTGGTGCTGGCTGAAAGGTTTTTCCCCAGAAGGAAAAAGAGGCTGGTGGAAAGTCAGACCCTGTTGCAATGTACTGGAGGAAAATGTTGCCTTTAGAAACAAAACCAGAGAATCAAACAAAGAGAAATTGAACATATTTGGATCCTTTCCGCAGAAAATCTGATTTGCAGCTGCTAAGCTTTGGGGATCTTCATGGCTCAGATTCTGCAGTCTTCTGCCCAGTTCCAAATCACTAGGGCCTAGGAAGACAGGGAAGGCCAAAGCATTGCCTTGTGTAAAGAAAACTGCTACACCAGTCAGCATCAGCTGAGAACATGGTCCTGCGTGTCTCACAGGATCGTTGTGTGGATCCATTTGTAGGCAGTAGTAAAGATCTGTGAAGATGGAGAGGACTCTATGCTAGTATTGTTACTGCTCTCCCATGGCAAGAGGTCAGCAAAGGATGTCCAGCAGGATGCCACAAAACATGCTGTCTCCTACCACCAGTCTTTTCCCCTGCTTTGTGAATTTTTAATCATAGAATCATAGAATGGTTTGGGTTGGAAGGGACCTTAAAGATCTTCTAGTTCCAGCCCCCCTGCTGTGGGCAAGGACACCTTCCACTAGACCAGCTTGCTCAAAGCCCCATCCAACCTGGCCTTGAACAATTCCAAGGATGGGGCACCCACAGCTTCTCTGGGCAGCCTGTGCCAGTGCCTCACCACCCGCGTAGTGAGGAATATGAGGTTGAAATACTGGTTAAAAGTGTGCATGGGAACTAAAGGGTTGTAGGCGGTTGTACCCCAGCCTCTCCCCATAGGAGAGGTGCTCCAGCCCTCTGATCATCTTCATGGCCCTCCTCTGGACCCACTCCAACAGGTTCATGTCTTTCTTGTGCTGGAGACCCCAGAGCTGGACACAGTACTGCAGGTGGGGTCTCACCAGAGCGGAGTAGAGGAGCAGAATCACCTCCCTCGACCTGCTGGCCACGCTGCTTTTGATGCAGCCCAGGATATGGTTGGCTTTCTGGGCTGCAAGCACACATTGCTGGGTTATGTTGAGCTTTTAATCAACCAACACCCCCAAGTCCTTCTCCTGACGGCTGTTCTCAATCCATTGTCCACCCAGGTTGTATTTGTGCTTGGGATTGCCCCGACACAAGTGTAGGACCTTGCACTTAGCCTTGTTGAACCTCATGAGGTTTGCACAGGCCCACCCCTCAAGCCTGTCAAGGTCCCTCTGGATGGCGTTCCCCCTGCTCCAGCATGTCAACCACACCACACAGCTTGGTGTCATCAGCAAACTTGCTGAGGGTGCATTCAATCCCACTGTCCATGTCACCGACAAAGCACCAGTCCCAATACCGATGCCTGAGGAACACCACTCATCGCTGGTCTCCACTTGGACACAGACTCATTGACTGCAACTCTTTGAGTGCATCCATCCAGCCAGTTCCTTATCCACTGAGCGGTCCATCCATCAAATCCATGTCTCTCCAATTTAGAGACAAGGATGACATGTGGGACAGTGTCAAATGCTTTGCACAAGTCCAAGTAGACAGAGCAGTGATAAAGCAACTCCTCTCAGCTACTGCAGAACAGGATAAATGCAAAAAACAGTAGCATGTTTTTCCCTTTTACCACTGACAGAAGTGTATCAGCTGAGCTTAAAATAGACCTTCCTTACCACTACAGCAAAAAGAAGATATTTTATTCTGTTTCCATTTGAGTCACCAGATTAGACCTTATTTTAATATCAGGGCTAGTTCTAGCTTATTTTGTTTTATTATTACAACTAATTGTGCACTAGCACTCATTCCAAAACTGTCAGCGAGTTTGAAACAGTCTGCTGAATAGCCATTCTTTTCATGAGCTTTTGGCTTAGATCAAACTTGAACCTATGACCTTGAGTTGAAATCCAGAAGTACTGAGCAATATCACACCTCCAGGCACCTCCATTGTGTCACTGGGATATGTTCTGTTGCCCTGCGTTGCTTAAACGTGATTTTATCAAGACTTGTAGGGATTCAAAGATATGTCACTGCTGGATTATCACATAAGAAGTGATACAGAAGATAAACAGCAGTATACCTGCTACAAAGCATGTGATTTTAAAAACAGCTTAAACACATCAGAGGAGTCTAATTATGTTACTTTTCCTCAATATGTGATATCATATGAATAAACTGTGAGCTCCCCTGCCCATTTTAATAGGGGGTCAAGTACACAGAAAGATGTAACAGTTGTATCCCTTCTTCTTCCTTAAGTAGAGCTACTTACTACAATTTCTCCTACCTCCCAACAAAGAGAGATTTTGCTTGGATTATCACTGGCAGTCACTGTCTGTTTACATACTGTTAGATTAATCTGGAAACACATTCAGAGGCCTCACATGGCAGATGTGAAATTGCATTTGTGGGAAAAAGCACTAACACTTTGCACAGAAACTTAGACAGAAAAACCTTCGTATCGTTATTCATTTTAAACCAGCTACTTGATTGGAAAGACTAGGAACAGACACAATCTTCAATATCTAAAAGCATAAGTATATTCCAAAAAGGGTATACATTGTGTCGTCACTGCAAATAAGGTACAGTTCACTTCATTTAGTGCCATTAAAATGTCTCTATATGAATAGCGTAGCTACTCCGCTGCTTAGGTAATGGAAATAATTTTGTAACATTGGCATAGAATTTTGGAAGGCGTTTCTGCTTCTTGTAATGGGAGTGAGAGGGTAAGAATACTTGCTACATCACAGTAGTGGTCTGGTATCACAATAGTAGCCTGGTATTACACAAGTTAAAAGAGCTGTGTGAGGCTGTGAGTGTGTGCACACCTGTGCGTATACAAAGCATTCACAAAATCACAATATCAAATGTCTGATTATGAAAAATTAATTAATAGTTCACTACTTCTGTTTGGGGAACACCCTATCAATACTATGCATACCATAAATTCAGAAACGGCCAAAACAGGACAGTGAACAAAAAGGGTGCATTGAAAGGTTGCTGACAGCATAAAGTTTATCAGATGAACACAGACAGAGAGAGTATATTGCTTACCTGTTATGCTTTCTTAAGAATGAGAACTGTTGCCGATGATGAAGATGGTGATGCTGACTTTGAGAACTGTGTAGCACTGCTGTCGGCCACAGGCAGGTGAGGAACAGAAGTTTCATGGCCAGGACCATCTCTTCCAAAAAAGAAATGCACCTGATCAGCGAATCCACCTTGCTGACTTTTTATTTTTAGTGTTTAGTAACAGCATAGCATATAAAAGATGCACGTGAAGCAAGGCATCACTGAAGACAGAAGATAGGGACATCCCAGTTCTGATGTCCTCGCTGAGATCCCCTCATATTTTGGCAAATCATAAAACTTCCTTCAGCTCTACATCCCTGCGGCATCTGCTGTCAAACCAGAAGCACCTTGGTTTTAGAAATGTAGTAGATACAGCAATTTGTTTGGCCAGGCTGCAGTCTGATCCATTGCTTCCACTCTTTCAGCACAGGCGCGCATTTGAATTCTCCATCACCCTCTCAGTAACCTCTTCGACATAGCCTGTGCAGGCAAAGTGATGTCAAACATTTAATCCCCCTTAAATCCCACACAAAACCATACAAAAATCTGCTTTAATGACAAAGGTCTCTAAATTAATCTTGCTTTCTATATATGTGTGTATCTGCTCAAAATAATTTTCTGTACAGATCAAGCTCTTTCATTAACCAGCTACATTGTATTGTCTTCCCAACCATTAACATCATTGCTGTTTCTGTGATCTGCAGTCGCGAGCATTTTGTCTGTAGATACAGAACTACTTTTGGACTGCACAATACCACGGAACAAGTCCAAACTAAAAGTGAAGTCTTGTTTCAATATTCCCCAATAACATTTGGAAATACCAACAATCTTTTTTTTTTTTTTCCTTTTTCTAAGCTCTGCAGCTATTTAATTTACCCTAATTTTAGAAGGCATGTGCATGTCTAAGATCCAGTACCCTTCCACCACCCCTAATTTTATCTTTATTTCATTTAGCCTGCCCTGCCTGCTCAACAGCAGACTGAATTGCAAAACAATTTATTAACAAAATGTTGCTTAAGCAAAAACTTGAGCATGCCTGCTTCTCCTATGAAAGGTGATAACATTTCTTGTGGGCTTAAAACTGGGCAACACTGGACACACCTTCTTAGCTGACACAGTCAAATTTATCCTCTTCAAGCCATCAGCAAGTTCAGTAATTATCAAAATCAATAGGACATGTTTATTTTTCTTTATCGAGAAAATCAGAGATATGACAGTAATTCTGTGATGTGGACATCTGCCTCCTCAGAAATTCCCTGAGATTCTCAACTAACTTCATTTGGGCTAAGAAATAATTCTCAGATGCAAATGATTTCCAGGAGGAAGTTACCAAATGACAGCTAATTCCCACCGCTTTTTCCATTTAGATTTGAACAGCTATCTGCCTGTGACAAAAAAAAAAATAATTACAAAATCTCTTCCCAACCATGCATAAAACTTTAACAGTGTTAGATTGAATTTATTGACCTAGATCAAAGGCTTTCAACCCTATTACCCATCTCATTCTACACTCTTCATAGTTTAATCCTTCCCTGTTCAGCAAATTTACGGAAGATCATTTGTGACCTGACCCAGGGATAGTCAGATAGTGCTTCCAGCAGGCCTGGTGTATTCCCAGGGTGGAGTTTCTGGAGAAGGTAAACACAAGGTGTAGTTAATAAGATCTTTAACAGCTTCCATCAATTTGCGCTATCGCTTGCGTGGAAAAGGGTAAATAAGTAACTCCAATGAGAATTTATTCCAGGTGGAGATAATACTTGTTCCTGAGCCAGTTTGGTTGTCTAGTCTCATCCAGCCTATGTATATCAAAGTAGCAGCACACCTGATTAAATTACATATAAGGAAAGATCCAAAAGCCTTTGGATCCTCCTTTTTCCCTGCCCGAGCACAGGCCCAACAGTAGCAGCAACAGTAGCAAATCAAATCAAAAGCTAACTGCACCGCAGGGTGTGGTAAATGTGTTACCACATTTCTGCATGCTCAGCTATCTGCACATTCATCAGTGTCAACTCCTTTCCAACCATTTTCCCCAACTACAAAGGAACAACAACATGTATATACTGTCTTCTCTGCTAATAGCAGTCATCCACATTGTTTCCAGAGACACTTGGGAAAGCCAGGTTTCAGACGTTAGCATCGTCCTTAGCTGAAACTGCTAGCTGTTACCCTCACTAAGCAGGAGACACGGAATGGGGAAGGAGAGGATGTTCCAGGTGCTGAGGTTATCCGCCAAGAGCTCTGAGGGGGACCTGAGGTTAGCTCATGTCATGCTAATGCATAAATGCGTTCACTTTGTGTGCTGACCTCAAGGAAGTCAAAGGAGTCCATAAAAAATAAATAAGTAAAAAATGCTCTGTGTATTTGTTTCCCAGCTGGGAAAGGGAGTGCTTAGAATCCCCGCTCCAGGGAAATGGCAAAGACAAACAAGTTGACTTTGCAGAATGACTGGCGTGCCCCAGGCCACACTGCATATGGATGTCCCTCCATCCATACAGCCAAGAGGGGAATCTCTAACAGAGAAAGAGACAATTAGATGTTGTTTTCATTCAGCTATCAGCACCCCACTGCTTTATTATTCCTGGCTGTAGTAGGAACTTTACCACTAAGCTGTGGTGCTGAAAAGACTGCTCCATGGAGGATTCCCAAAACATGCTCAATGTTCCTTTGACTGCCCCCGCTAAAGTCAGCTGTAGTCAAAAGTAAGAACTGGATGCACTGACATATTCCACCACCTTCACACCGTTGATGTTATAACACTAAATATGACCTTGCGGGGTCTTGCCTAAGCACACTGAAAATCTAAGCACTACCTCTCTGTCCTTTGGCTATGGCATATTTCCAGAAATTAATTGTCTAGCCCACACATGCGAAGTCTTCAGGAGGGACTCCTGCAGAGTGAAATGGTGAACGCTTCCACTAAAGTGGTGTGTAATATCAGTGAGGGCAACTAGATGTCACCCACAGCAATAGGGTTTCTTCATACTAGAGTTGTTTTCATTTCCTCTGGGTAAGAAAGCATTACACAGAGCAGATTATAACATCATTATAAATTACCATTAAGAAAACAGGTTAATCTCCTATGCATTTGTCAGTAATAAATTCCGAAAGGATCCGTCTTTGCGGAAGAATAAAGACAAGATAATACACTTTGTGTGCTTGTACTGGGTGAGTCGTTGATGGGTCCTTGTATTTAAACACAGTTAGAACATTGTCTCTTTGCTACCATTACAATATTTATTTAAAATTATCCCTTCTCTGTAGCCCATGACAAGTTTGTAATGCTTATCTTTCAGGGACCAAACCCAGTGCATAAGCTCACTGGAACAGTTTACGAACAACCGAGCAAGCAAAAGAAACAAAGGTAAATACACCACCGGGTATCAAAAAATGAGATGCCTTCCTTTAGTGAGCAAAATAAAACACAGTTTCAGGTAATTACAATCTGGAACGACAGACCCCTCTCCACCACAGATCTCAAAGCAAAGCAAACTGACAACAGCCATTACAAAAACGAGAACAGAAAAATACTAGGGATGAAGAGATGTTTCAGAGGCTGGCATTTTGCAGAAAATCTGAGCACATCTGAAGGCCATTTTAAACATGTGGAGCTGAAACACCATAGCACACTAGCACCTAACAACCTGGAAATTAGCTGCAGTGAGAGGAGATGCACTGTGGACCAGGGAGCGTAGGTTCATCTGGCATGTATTTTTTATTCTCCTAATCAGAGAATGAAACACAAGGAAAAAAACCCCAACATTCCTAAGAGTCTCCCAAGAGGCACTCGTTTCTGATAAACAACTGGCAAATCATAGAAAGCAGATTAACCAGAGTGGTGACTGTGAGAGCGTGAATGCAATACTGCAGCACAAGAATAGGCAGCATTTTGCTTTTCTATGGTAACAGCCTCAGCGCATAGCACTTACCATTTATATCGTGGTGACTTGCAAAAATACTAGTCAGAATTAGGGACACTTTGCCCTGCTTATATTAATACAAATGATGGACCAACTTTCCAGGATAAGGTATCCATTCACAGTTCCTAACAAGATGAAGTGAGAGGAAAGCAGAGACTGAGCATTATGATTCCAGTTTGCAGATCTCAGAGCAGGCGAAGTGCTTTACTTAACACTTGCAGTGGGTCCCAGCTCTTACCGTCCTGCTCCTGATATATCAAGTCCCTTGGTAGGGGTGGCAAGTGAACATCCATCACTGCCCCCAAATAGTCTGAGGTAACAAACTGGGCACATTAGGACTGCAAAGTACTAAACCAGAAAATAATTCAAAAGCCAGCAAGAACCACAGCTCAGCTCAAAATCTGTGCAAGGTTTTTGCATGGTGCCTGCTGAGATGGGCTCTCACCCTGGGGTTTTACAACGAGCTTCAACAGAACTGTCAGGCTACTGCTGAAACACCATCCTCCCCTTCATCCCTGCAGTGCACTACTACTTGCTACCCTTGCTTCGCCATCAGCAACTGTTCAGCCAGTTGTTAAAGGAACGGGTACCGGTGCGGGAGGGAGGACTTGCCCCCTCTCTGTGGTGACACATGGCTAGACTGGCTTAAGCCAGCCTTGAAACTCTACCCTTAATTTCTGCTGGGCAATATGAAAAAGAGCAATAATATTGAAGTAAGCACATAATATTTTCCAATGAGTGTTTAGTTTTACTATAAAAAGGAAGTCCTGATTGTTTTCCTTTTCCAGGATGTAAAATTTTTGCAGCCTGAGTACAAATTTCTTGTAAATTATTGTTCTGGACTTACTGTTTCTTACGTTTTCTTAACATCTCACTGTCTGGGGAATTCTTGTACCATCAAAGGGAGCATTCCTGACACTAGACAAAGCCTACCAAGAAGGAAAAGAAACTACAGATGCATAGATTCACCAGGTAGAGTCTGCATGTATGTATCACCTGGATCCAGACCGAGCCCAGGAATTTGCTCTTGGTCCTGATGCCCTGTGAAGTCTGGCTCACCTCACAACTGCTTTAGCATGGCAAACACATAGCCTTGCAGACATTTTCCTAAGAACTTCTCTGTTCTGACAAGCTCCTCCAGCCACAGATCTGAAGTTATTCTACTATTCTATTCCCTCAAACTTTCCCATTAG